AATAGAATATTGCTAATTATTGTACCACAGTGCTGGTATATCTCAGACTTATTGAGATGAAGTCTCAGGCAGGACATAGGTGCACATCATAAGTCCCTTGCTTCTCATTTCCGCAAAAAAAAAAAATCAGGTCCATAGTGGCTGGTGTTGTCTCTGTGTTTCAACATGTCCAGAGAAGTGGGAACTTGACAAGTACAAAAAATGTAGCACCTGTGGAGGTACATTTATCTAAGTACTTATAATGCTATGCACAAAACTAGTTCTGTGAGTAGCATTCATGTTCAGTGTTTTGCTCCATGAGGAGCATTTCACTTCTGTTAGTCACTTGGTCAAATAACTGGAGCTCTCCATGTGATACCCTACACTAAACAATGCAGATCACAAATCACACAAGCACTATGTATTAAAGTGAGGAAGTTAAGCTTAATGTCTGTTTTTAAGGAAACCTTTTTCTCTTTCCCTCATCTTCTAGGAAGTCTTCGTTAAGCATAATCCATTATGTGTGAACAATCAAGCCAAAGCCTTTTCAGCATTGGCCTGTCAATTCCTAGATTATGTGAATCTGATTTTTTCCTCTTTATTCTTTACAGTTTTTATTCTTTTGGCAATGAAAATAAGCCTAGAAAATGGATCCAAAGAGTCTGCCCAAGTCTGAGGACAGGTACACTGAGGGGCAATGTTTCATGTATCGCAGTGGAGTCTCACTTCCAGTGATACAGGCAAGTGTGAACAGAGGTTATCCACTTATAATTTTGGAAATAGTTTACCCAGTTCTTCATGCCCAGCTGGCAAACTTAAGCCAGGGAGCTTCCCCATAACTCCACTTTCTCAAACTTCCCCTGGCTGACACCAAGCAGAGGAGCAGACTTGGCTCAAGCATGCTGGCAGGCTTCCACTGGAGTTTGGTGCTACAAGGGATGACTGGGACAGAGGGACAAGGGGGCAGCATGCTCTGGAAAAGGGGTGGAAGTGAAACCTCCTATGTAAGGAGAAAGCAAATCATGCATGTTGAAGTCTGGTGTCTAAGGCCGAAATACATCTTATTTTAGATGAAGGTAATAAAGCACTATGAAAACACAAAAATGAGAGAAAGGATACATAGTAGTATTTCTTTGCCACCTCTGAGCAAATGACTAATTGATTGGGTTAGCAATGAATTTTTGATTTCTGAAGAAACATTAAAGTTTGATGAATTACTGGTTTATTAGTTTCTGGAAGAATAATTCCTCCTCTTGTGTAATGTAACAGAAAAGCAAGACACGGTCACTGTGGAGACAGAGACATGACCAACCATCGAGGTTCAGAGTGACATTGTAAAAAGGAGTTTCACCTTTAGGTCACTGGTTGAATTTTAAATAGAGGAGTTGCCACGTGCCTTTTGCCATGTTGTTTGATGTCCTGGGTCAGCTCGATCTCAAATACAGCTCAGTTCCTAATAAACAAGTGTTCCCATCATAAGCACTGCAATAACAGATAACCTCTCTGATGAGCCTGGCAGAAAGGAGCATCCTTAAACCAGCTTTCTTGGAAATACTGTCTCACAACAACCTTCGCTCTGCAAAAACAGGAGAGCACCCACTTTCCTTTCCCCTAACACCTGGAGCCAAACTAATGCTCACTGAGTACCACAGCACAGATGTCATCACACCATTCACCCTTCTCAGTTTCTGGGAAGGATGATTCAGCCCCTGTGCTTTTACATTCATTCTAATGCGTTCATTTACATTTTACATTCTAAACCACATTCAAAGCATCCTCGTGAACATCAGATACCTTGCTTTTTCAACAAAAATACCTGAGTGCTTGTGTAGCAGGGCTTTTTTGATGTTTTTTTAACCTTTTTAGAGACTGAAGAAGCTTGTTGTGAAAAAGAATGCAAAGAAACCTAATAAACTCAACAAACCTGTCTCAGTACTTACACTTGCAAATTCTGACCAAACTTGAGTAGGATTTGTTGCTGGAAAGGACCAGCTTTATGTGCCACAGTTTAGATGTATCACTAACTAAAAACAAATATATAATTGAAGACTTAAAAAGAAAGATGAGGAAGACAATTGCATAATTAATAAAGAAATAGGATCATTGATCACCTCAAACTGCAAAACCACAGTGTAAAATATGGCACCACAAAACTGTTATTTCATTTGATTTATGCTTCATGAAAAAGCAAAACAAATGTTATACAGGTATTTTCAGTAGCTGAAAACTGGCTATCACTAGAAAAACACAGCTACAGACATTCCTCATTGCTGGCCTGAACTGTTCTCAAAATAATCCAATGTAAAGGCCACTGACTGAAATATTTCTAATACTCTGCAATCACAAAGCATTAAACTGCTGTGTTTGGTACACCACCTTGCTTGGGCTCCAGAGGTATTAGTTAAGCTTCAGCTTTTGGTTTGCAAAACTCCCTGAACTCTCCTGGCCTCTCTCATCCTAAAATCTCAAAATAGACACTGCTGTTTTCCTGCAAATATGTTTAAGTAACATTACAAATAACATTTCATTGCACGCCAATTAAAAATAAACAGCAGAGAGTAAGGAGCCAGAGTCATTTTGCCTGTCTCAGGAGCAGCTATGAACAGCTCTGAAAAACAAACTTGCCCTTTGTGGATCTTCAGACCAAAAGAAGCAGGAGAAGCAGAATTTTAATAGCATCTAAAAAGGTGAATCACAGAATCTATTTAACACGGAAAAGAAGAAATAATCTAAAGAAACTATGTTGGAAACCTGCCTTGTTTTTCCAGTAGTTCATCACGTTTTTCTCTCACTGTTGCAGAAACAAAGCCATCAAGTGTATTTTCAAGAAAATATTTAAATAAAACTGATAAAATGTCAACACTTGACTACTTGTTTAAATTGGACAAAATTATAAAAGCTGTTACAGTGTGTTCAGTTTGTTCCTATGTTATTATATACCATAAGGGCTCATTCGAGCAGTGAGAATACTGCAGACAAGGCGTGAAGATTACAAGATGTCTTAGACTTCTCCCTCCTACAGTATGAAATACAATCTAAAGCAACCAAAATTCTTTTAGTGGAGCTAAAAGCTTCCCACCATCGCTCAACAGGCAAAAAAAGAATCACTGTTCCTTTATGCTGCAAGAACACTTTGTAACTTGCTTAATGGGAAGTTAAATGAACCAAAGCTTCAGTCAGCAAAAAAAATGACCATCAGTTTAGGTGCCAAATTTTTGTATTTAAAAACTGAGGTCTTGGGTCTGGTATATTTATATTTTCCCAAGGTTAAACTTATAGCAGTATGATATTTTTCATAGTTTTTGCTTTCTGAGGAGTATGGATTACTACCTGAGAGAGCTCCTGTTTCTGCCCTGCTCCTACTGAGTGCACTTTACACATGTAGCTCAGGTCACTAATAGAGACTACCATAGCAAGCTTAGCTGTTTGCGCTCTACGTGCACCTCAGCGGATGAAAAGTGGTATACAAAAGCTCAATACATACTCCCATCACAACAACACTTACATTATCAACTGAAAAACAGGTATCTGAATGTAAATTTTTTCTCCCTTCTTCCACAATTTGTCACACTCGGATGGGAAGCACAATAGAAGTCCCAAAGTACTCCCATCTCCCAACACCTTACCTAGGAAATAATCCTAATACACTTGTATTTTCTAAGCACAAACTGAGTGGTGAGTTGGCATATTCCAGCTACACAGACATGCTGGTTGAAGCTCTGGACCAGACATCTTGGCACAAGCACTTCCGGGCCCGGACGACAAGGAGGCTACAGCCTCTCAGCAGTGCTTCCAGTCTCAGCTCAACTCAGCATATGGTGCTAACACTCACGTAAGATGCACCCACAGAGCCTAGGAACTTGAGCGGACACCAATGTCACAGTCGTATGACACTGCATTGAAAAGCTTCCACCTCACTTGGAAAGCAGCACGCCAGATAAAGATTCAACCCTAGCTGTTAAACAATACCCATTCATTCATATTTCTTGCACAGCACAGATACTTAGCTTTGAAAATTAGACATCCACATATTTATAGAGGCAGTCAACTTTATGGTATCTTTGTACACCCCATGTGAGTGAGAAGCAAAGGGTTCTGACCATAAATGAGCAGCATATACTCCATAACCCAGTGGGTCTTACACAAGACCAGGTAAAACACACAGCAATTAATAAAATACTAGGAGACTCTAAACATATAGTAACTACTAGTAAAACTAGCATTAGAAATGCACCAGTGTACTTCAGTCATAAAAAAAAAAAGAACCCTAAAATTTTAAAACTTATCATAATTTTTTAATACCAGTGTTATGAAACTTTTCTTTTTACTGTTACTCAGCTGTGGAAACCACAATGGAAATTCACTAACATTTCACCCAGGCTGGCCTCTAATTGAGACTCTTGTGCTCTGCAAGCTCCCATGCTAGTGTGGGGTCGGTCTCCTGCACAGGAGGGTCTGCCAGCGGTGGATCTCTCACAGCTTGCAAGCCTTTTTGCCAACAAGCCGCTCCTCACTGGGAGCCAGATACAATCCTCCAAACAAACCCCTAGATCACTTCAGACGTTGCAGAATTTTACCCCTTTAGCACACCTTAATGCCCCATGACCTTTTAAATGTCACATCTCAAAAAACATTTCTCCTTCAGCATATAAATCAAGGGGAAAAAGCCCTGTATTTCAAAGTCAAAATAATAATAATAAAATAATTATTTGTTCTTCATTGGAGAATTCCCCTCTGCCTTAGTTTACTATTTATAAACCACCAGTCTGGGATTAATTATTATAAATCCTTAAAGCTGAAAAGAAGATTTTAGGCATGTTATGCTACACGTAATCTATATACCATTATTAAACTGCAGCTCAAACTCACTTTATGTCCTATTTCTGTTGGTCATCTTTTAACATTTCTGTATTTTACCTACAGCAAATTTTACTCCTCAAGAGAAAGCATTTCTTACTGTTTTCAAAACACCAGACCACCTATCGCATGTGCCACTGCATGGGAGGCACGGTTTCACTCACCGGGCACCCCGTCTCTCATCCAGTAATCAATGTCTGTTCCATCTGCGTTGTCATAAACATCTGTAACATTGATGGGCTGCAGCAGAGTCATGATCTCTTTCATGATCTCCCGAGCTTTAGCACTGCCAGTAAAACCCAGTCCAGATGGCTGGAAGGTGCCCTCATCAGACTCCATGACGATATCAAAGTTGGAGATATTTTCCTAAACATGCAAGGAAAGAAGACATTGGTTTGTGACTTCTATTTGAACTGGCATCATATGCTAGATTCTAGATGTCTGTGTGAGTATACCATAACAAATTTGTCTAACAAGCAGAGAAATGCTTCCTGTGATCCTGTGTATGTAAGTATAAATTAAGGGACATAATCTTTCTGTGTGAAAAAGCTGAAACAGTTCCAATTCAGTTCTGAGCCACTGATATTCTGTTGGAGCCACAACAGGACAGGCCTGCTGCCCGCAGATACTTGAAGATTTCTGAAGTATCACCTAGAAAGGTAAGGCATTACCACCATATTTCATTTTTGACTTGTAGCTCTTGCTTCCTTCTTAGACCTGAAACTCAGAAATTCTGTTGCAGGATGGAAGGTACGCAGTCTGGTGGGCTTTAAAATCAGATGCATTCAAAGCTTGCTTAGACTGTGAAAGACATCCCATTTAAAAACAAACAGACAAACAAACAGCTGCCGCCTCTTTGGAAACATTATTTTCAATATCCCATGGAGTCAGCTCTGACTTCAGTTGGAGGACTGAAATGCCAAGGTTCCTTCTGATCTGAAGGAATAACATGAGTTTTAAAGGAAGTTTGTGCTTTCAACATAAGTCCCTATAGGAAATGTAAAATGTTAAGATTCTGTGTACAAACAGCATAATAACATTTGCTTTCAGTGTGTACTTAGAAGATTCTTTTTTGCTAAAAGAAGAAAAATTATCATTTAGGGTCATTTACTTGCTTCCCATGTACTCAGAAGTCCAGTCACAAAGCTTTAATTGGCATATAATATTTAGGGACTTTACCTGAAGGAAGTTCTCACTCTTTTTGAGAGGAACATAACATTTATATTTTTTTGCAAAATAAAACAGTTTATGGCCAGGTCGGGCAGAAAAAAGCTACACTTCAGACTATCTCAAACGTGACTAAGCAAACTTACTGCAGGTATTACTCCTATGCCCAGATCTCATTCCAGAATTTTATGGCTGTCATGGGTTATCACATGAAAATCATTACAAGACACACGTGATAGCAGTGAGTATCAGATCGATGTCATCAACAGCTTACATAAAGCTGAGATACAGTAAAGAATTCTTTCACGTTTTTCTGAATATAAAATCAAACATGAACTGCAGGTAGCCATGAACATGATATTCACATGAGTTCTCAGAAGTTCTGTGTAGAATTTGCCAAAAACTTTGTTTTACACTCTACTTTCCCAAAACTTTCATCTTGCAAGCGAACCAAGTTCCAACATAGCAGAGGTATTCACTTCAAACCTGGAAATATATCCAGAAGTTAAAAAATCTAATGCAAAATCTTTGCATATGATGAAGTAACTATAAATATTTTATAATATAAAATAACCAATCTACCTATTCACCCACCCAGCTACCAGAAATCAAGGTGGAAACAACACTGTTGCCAAATTAGCAATTACTATTTTTATAAAATGAAAAAAATCTTCAGTTTGTAAAAGATGCAATGTAAAGAATTAGGATATATGTCATGTCGAGGCCTTTCATCAAATGCAGTATTAGAGGTTGTGAGCCTCAACCTGATACTGTGATTCACAGATCCTCTGAACATCGTGGGAGAGAAGCAGGCTAAGAAAAGCACACTGCTTGGTAAGAGGGACCCATAATGCTCCAATGTCAGAGGTAAAGCAGAAAGAATATCTCAAAATGTTAATCTTTACAACACAAGCCCAGGGAGCAAGACTTACGGAAGACAATACACATTTTGGTGTTCTGGTGAATTGCCAATGAAAGCTAACTTAATTATAGTGAGCCCTACATGAATACCAGGATAGAAATCATTTGGAAATGGCCTCTTTGTCTGAGTCTTTGAAGCAGGATTTCTGGTTATTTTTAGAGACGCTGCAGTGAGTAGGAGCAATAAGGCAAGTGGAAGGGGCTATTTAGGGTAGCAAGGTGAAAAGAGTGTGAATAGGAGCAGCACAGAGAAGAAATCTCACTTACCGCTCCAAAGAACAGAATTCCCAAGTTCCAAAACTTCTTAAACTGCTAGTGTAGGAGCATTACTTCAGCTGTGTTTTCTCATGTAAATATTTGCATGTGTTTTTAATATGAAACTGAGAAAACAAACCACCCACAATACATTACACCATATTCTTGCTCTGTTAGAAAGCTGTTCAGTTCTCAGAATATGCAAGAGTGGCACAAAACCAGGACACCCTTGGGAGAGAAACTAGACTCATTGAGGGGCAAAAAAGAAATTGGACATGACTATTTGAAGTACCATGTGTCCTTGAGAAAGCTTTTTCCCTGTTCCATCATCTAGATAATGGGATGAATTATAAGCCTCTTCACTATCAAGTAAGAAAGTTGCATTAAAATAAAAGGGGGGTTAGGTGGGTTTCACCATACCCATTTTTGTATATATTGGTGTTTCTACCTGCACAGAAAGAAACGCACGCTGGAAAATATGCTATAGGGAAGATGCTCTTTTGTCCTTTGCCACTTAGCAAAGTGGGGTGAGACCATTCATTGCTCCCTTGAGTAACTCAAGGGAACAGCAAAACAAACCAGTAAGATTTTATAAAAACAACTGCAGGCTCAGCTGTTCCCTCGTAGTTAATGTACCATTTAAAGAAGCCTTTTAAACTCAGTATGCAATTCTTTTTTTGAAAAGTAATCCCATTTGCTGCATCTTGATACTGTGCCACTTCTCTTAGCACATACCAGAAAATTAAAACTTGTTGCTGTAACCTGCTGCCTAATTCTCTGAACATCAAAATAGACTTTTATCCTTTATCATCCTTCATTACAGAAGATATCACCTCTCTTTATCTTAGTGTTTAGCTCTTTGACTGCATTTTAAAATGAAACTTTACAATATATATTGCAAGGGAAAATTGGTTTTCAATAGCTTGCTGATTTCATTGAATACACAAATAGGCATAATCTTTGCCAATACTTCTCCTATTTTTATTTTTTTTTATATTAATTCCTTGTATGTCTGTTTTCTCTATAAATAATCCATTTTTATCTCTGTTAAGCAAAACTAAAAATATAAGTGCTTCTCATCTTAAGGCAAAAACTTGAAAACATGAAATTCTAATCAAATCTTTTCAATTAAGAAATTAAACCCTTGTCATACTGCTACTTCTATTCATAAGAAACATATCCCATCCAGTGTAAGTAGGTACTGGCAATCCCAAGCAGATATATCCTACAGTTAGCTACTTATTCAGTCAAAATCCCAATCATTAATTCTTAGAAAATGTTGAACTAGACTCCAGCATCTCATGATTAATCTACTGAGTCACTGACAGCAATTCCTCTTACCCAGCTAAAGCAGTGAGATACCTGATAGCATAAGGGAGGAAACAGCTGTCCTAAAAACCTTCAGTAATTGGGACTATTTAAAATGGGATGTTATTACTTGTCCAATAGCTCATTTGCTGCTTTTCTTTTTCATTCCACTGGGAAGAATCACCACTTTACAGGGAAAATACTAAAGCCTATAATTGCAAAGCACTGTCCTTGACTAGCAGTTAATTTGTTCCAGTGATAACGGACATCAGTTAATCCAAGAGCACATTTTCAGCTTTCTGTTATTGATTTACACTTAACTTTAAGAAATACCAACACTTGTACTCTTGTATTCCAGTATTTGAGTCAGAGCAGTTAGTTATAGCATGGCTATAGTGTTGCAGAACTTGTGGTGAATGACAGTTATCCCACTTGCAGTACCAAAAGTGTGTTTAAATCAACACCCAGTTTTGTTGGGCTGGCAACTAAGACTACAGGAAAGACAAGAGAAAACACAGGAAACACATAAGAGCATGTGACTGCTGGAAAAGGAAAAACCAAAATAAATAATATCCTCTAAGTATTTAATACTAAATAAACAGGGTGCAGTGTAATTTTGAGTTGCTGTTTAGGATCAAGATTACTTAATGAAGAAAACCAGCATAAATGGAAACTAGAGAAAAAACATCAAAACAGCTGTTAGGAAGCAGAGATGTGCCAGCATCAAGGCATAATAACCACCAGCCACAAGTGTGATCATCCCACTCACACTCTTTTTGAATGAAGACAGGGAAAATCAGGAACACCGTAAGTTACAATTTTTTTTTAAATTACCCCAGCATTATATGGGAGAAAGCTGCTATGAAGCTGAAGTTTAACAGATTTTTTTATAGATGACAAGGTATGAATAAGGCTCCTACTTTGGTTAAAAGACGAAATATTCTGCCACATTTTGTGGGAAAGCAGTTTGTAAAAAAGTCCACAGATTTTATGGCTTGTTCTCTATCAAAGTTACAGAGTTCTGACCTCCGAGAAGCTGATGACAACAGTCCTAATAATTTCAACAGCCCTGGAGCAGGATTTGGTCATGTACTGATTAGCATTTCACTTAGTAAAAACATACTACTAGCATGTCTTGCCATGTACAATCCTGCTACTGTTTCCTCTGCAACCACTTGCCAGCACTCACAGAGATGACCATTCAGTAATGAAAGTTCTCTGGAAGGATAGACAAGAAGCAGCAGACAGCTCTGAATGAAGACAGCAGAAGGCTAAGGTAGGTATTCATCAGATTACCTAAAGCCTTGTCTTGGGAAGTCTTTTCTTTGACAAACAGTGTATCAAAGAGAAGTGCTTTTCCCGAAAAATGTTCCATAACTTGAGCCCTTTTTTGAATACAAGAGGATCAAAACACTGTCTATGACTCTGAATGACTGAACCACTGCTGTCCTTTTTGAAAAGGTTTTAGCTTAATTTGGGAATAGGCAACAATGCCAAAATTGTGGTTTACATCTTTCAGTCAAAGATGATTTTTACTTTTTCAGTAAAAAGAATGAGTACTTTTGTAACATTTAATAACAGATAGATGAAAATAAATTGGCAACACCTTAGAAATTATCACAGCACATACATTGGTAATATTTCCTAGGTTTATGCAGAACAGTTTCAGGTTCTCATCTAAGTAGAGGTGAAATGTTAAAATGAAAAGAAGTCAGTGAGGAGAAAGTTCATTGTGAGTCAACAAGAGGCAACAATTTTCTGCCTTGCACAGCTGCAAGTAGTTTGAATAGAAGGAGCCTAGCTTTCTTACAGCAGCACATCCCAAAGTACCAAGGACCTGTGGCTGGGTACATCTGCCTGGAGAATGAAAACAGAGCAGCTCAGAAAATGTCTCCATGAGTTCACATGTTTCAGATGGCAGCTCTGAAGCTGGTGAGGAATCAACATGGTTTTAGAAAAACCTGCAAATGTGACACTTCAATATTAAGAGTTATGAACTCTTACTGACCTAGAACCAGAGCTTTACTGTGCTTAATACAATCAAAGGTACTACTGGTTGTTAACTGTGACTGTGGAGAATAGAATGCAATTATTTTATTCTTGTAGTTTTGTAACTCTCTTGATGCAATTCTTTAATTTCTCAATGAAAGGGATCAACAGAACAGCAGTGGGCAAAACAACCAGCAGTAACTTTAACCTTTCAAACTTTTGATTACAGAGAATATTTCAGGACAGTCAATAGACTGTCAGTCAACGTATTTTGCTGGGATAAAGGAATACACATTGAAGTTCTTGGTGCATTTGGTTCAAATCCATGTCTCACATTGCACCAGAGTACTTGGTACCTTGGGAAATAAACGGGATGTTAAAATCCATGAAATTTCTGAAAACTCTGCTTTTGAGGAGCCACTATTTTCTGGGGAAGAATCACCTGAAAGCAACAAGAAATTTTTTTGATATTTGCTTCTTAGAGAAAGTAACTTATCAGTAAATCACAGCAGAAACCTCATGTGAGCATCAACAAAGAGTTTTTAAATTAGCAACGAGACACCAGCATTTCAGAAGCCCTGTTTTCATGCAGACCCAGTTTAGGCAAAATATGAAATCTCCTGGGTAATAAAAAAAATAAATGAAACCATAGCAAATGCTAGTGACTGATATTTTTCATAAAGGTAAATCTTTACTAAAAAGTTAAAACAGTGTACGGCATTTGCACCAGAAATGTAGGTAAGTACTCTAATAATCATTAAGGCAGGAATAAAAGCATGCAGAAATATTTAAAGAATGCTTTCCCTGATGCAAATTTGAACTATATTACATTAATGCCTCCAATGATCTCAACAGAGTTACTAAAGTAAATTTGAATGTGGCCTGGGATCTCTTAAGTCTTCTAATTACAAAATATATTTGGTTTTCCAGGAGATTGTATGCAATACTTCTATTCCAAAATAAATATTATCAGCCATTCATAGTCCTATAATTCAGCTGGATAACCTTGTCTTCACGGTATACAGATCTTTCACTGAAACTAGTCCAAGGAACAGAAAAGAGGCCAGACACATACACTTCTTTCTCCCCTCACGAAGACAGCGTAAGAGTAAATACACAAAAAACTTAAATACCCTACTGGACAGCTCTCAGGTACTGTTGTTAAAGGTTGTAAGAGAATCTGTACTGAATAGCCACAATATGACCCCTGGAATTACTAAACCGTATTCCTCCTGCTTCTTCCATTCAACTTGGAAAGGAAAGCAGCAGTTGCAATGTTTCACATATTCAAAGCTATTTACTGCATTGTCTTAAGAGTCCTACTTACCAACTGGGTCACACAACACTAAGGACTGGGCAAAGACATGAGGGGTAGCGTCAAACCCCAAGATCTGGAGCCCGATTTATGCTTAGATCCTTTAATTTCATTACCTTTTATCAATGTAAGGAATCTTTACTGTAAAGAAAAAATTAAGCCCTTTTTCAGTCTAGGATTAAATGTAATTATTGGCTAAAAGTTAAAAGCAGTGAGCACTTCAGAGGATATCTGCTTTGGGAGTACATGTGCTGGTCATTCCTCCAGGATGTTTTCACCACAAACTGAGCAGGCGCTCTGTAATTGGTGAAAGGCAGTTACCCCTGCACTAATGGAGGCACTGAAACTGCTGGACAATACTTGGCTTTCAACTCTTGGACATGTCTTAGGAAGATCATACAAAGAAAACAATATATGAGGACCATGAGATACTCTCCTGAAAAATATTTGATAACATGAAAGCCTGGTTGTGTGAGTAATCTACCTGTCTGAGTTTATTCTGATTCCAGTTAGTCAAATACACCACTCCTAAGAACCTACTTACTGGATGCTATCAGAATCAGCAGACAGCACTAGACTGAGCTTTTGGTGAAGCCAATATGGCAGCTCTTACATTCTCAGATGAGCTCTGAACATCCAATATACACACACTATTGATAGTTTTAATAATCAGAAACGATAATACTGGGCTGTACAGAAATACATGGGTCACATAAATAACGCTATGATGAAGGGATATGAGTTAATTATTTGCACTACAGTAAAACCACTATGCTTCTGTTATCTCAGTTATTTCTGCAGTAACATATCTACTTTCTAGCAGTGGCAACCTACACTGAAGGATGAGGAAGAAAGACCTGAAATTAAATTGAAAGAAATAATAAATATACAAGAGTATTTGTACTTGGCCAGTACTATATTGTCTTCATTTCTTCTCCCTTGCACATTTCCACTGGTATGACAAAGTAATTTAAAATCTCAAGGAAATCCATGTCTGTCTGTGCTGAATTACTGCATTCATATTTCTACTTGTTTGTAGCAAACTAATGTCATAATAAGACCAGCTATGTAGATGAGTCATACAGGGCATCTTTCATTTAACAAGACATCTTTAAATACCATTCTTATTTACCTTGTACTCATTACCATCAGCAAGCAATGTTTGTGCCATACTACCCTAATTGCCAGAAATTTGCAGAAGTAAATCATTAAAAGGTTAAGTTATTTTTCATGCTAAATATAATGTACAGTGTTAATCTGCTTTATTTTGTTATTATGAGTAATGTGATGTCCTATAGTCATATCAATTTATAATTATGCCCGACCACATGGCAGGGGGGCAAACAAGAACAACAAACAACAGACGGATGTCATTTCTGCTTAAATTCTCCGTGTAAATTATAAACTCTCGTTAAGTTAGACTGGGTTTTCTTCACAGAGCACAAAATCCAGATGGAATCTCATCAACAGAGCAAAAATTGAGACACACCTTTATCTCAAATTTTTAAAGGTAACCAAATACCTTGCAAACAACACCCAGCCTGGTTTATATTTCCCTATTTAATCCTTAAGCCTGCTTTTTGACATTACTTCTGAATATAAATTCTAGAGACAATAGCAAAATGCAGGCATTTTGGCAAAAGATGAGATGTGCATGAGACAATTCCATGTGTTGCTGACACCACCATGGTAGGATGGTGCTTATTGTCCAACATGGAAATCTAAAGGGTGGTGATGCATTTCTCAGGAACAGTGTGCACTAGGCACAGAGCATCCCTCCAGCTTCTCCAAACTGCACTTCTGTTTATCAGAACCGTATCTTCCCTGTGCTACATATTCCAGAACATTCAATTCTAGCTTAACCCTGCTGAACACCAGAATACCACTGGTAAATCCAGAGTCCTTAATACATGCTAAACTGTAGCCTGTTACCTCTCAGAAAATGAGAAACAAAGCTCTCTTCTAATTGAGATAGCTAAGCTATTCCTATAATTTGGTGATACAAGGAGGAACTACATTATATATGGGCAGTTAAATACACTTCTTCATAATGGTAAACAAGTTAGTGGGAAATAATTGACTGTTCATCATTTAGCAAGAAAACCATAACCACTGTAAGGCTATCTCTGACAACTCTATTGCAGATGCAAATTGACTGAGTTTAATTCATCACAATAAATTTGGTTCAAAGTGAAATTTCCATTTATTTGTTCTGGTAGGTTGCTTACCATTAAAAACATACTCTTAGGAATTGCTTGTAAGTCTGCTTTCATACAGTAGGAAGTACAGCAGGTGACTTCCTAAACACATCTGCATTCATCTTGTCTCTGCCTTGGAAATATTAGCTGTCACTGAGAGTGCAAATCAGGGAAAACAATAAAAGCTAACTACTTTATCTTAGTCATACAGGTACAGCATAACTTTTCTGGGGGAAAAAATAAAAATCCACACATATTCCAATGATTTATCTCCAAACTGGTTTTACGCAGCTGCCCCTTATGTCATGGTGTACTTTGAAAAGGCGGTTGTTGGCAGGAGAAATAGATGAGACAATACGCAACATTTTTATCCTGATAACCAGTCACAGAGTTCATGTGTTCCTTGCATTACCTGAAATCAGCCATTTAAAATGTTCCAGATCCCATAAAACTAATAAATGGCAAAGAGTTCTTTATATTACACATTATTAAGATAAGATAACAAAGATTTTTCTTTGTATTATCTTCTGTTTTAAAACGTAAAATATTAACAGGGAAATGCAATGAAGCAGAACTAGATAATGCAAACAAAATTTATTTATATTGCCAACAGATGTGGACCATTTGCCATTCATTCTCAGGAAGTTAGCTACGTTTGACAGCTGCGGCAGATATCATCATGAAATATCTGTTTCAGAACTGTTTCATGACAGAGTATCTTGGGTCAAGCAGAACATGTATATGTGTGGCCACATCACTTTTTGTTAAATGTAAAATGAAGTTTACATTTATAATTAAAACCAGAAAATACACTTTCAGGCAGAACTGGAATCAGTACTTTAGGCTAGAAAGCTGAACTTTTAAACAAAAATAATATGGAATTCACAAGACTAGGGAGAAAAGTGCTGCCAAGCAAATAAACCGAAGACATGATTTACCTTGTGCAACTGATAATATTGTTCAGCACCTATTCCTCCCTGCTCTTCTCCCGTCCATAGCACCAAACGGAGAGTCCTTTTGGGGTGAAGTCCTACAACATATTTCGAAATACAGTTTTAGTAGTAAATATCCATACATTTGAGCATTTTTTGCACTGGTCTCCACCATACCATGAATGAAAAGCCTGGGTTTTCATTCAGTCATCTCTACCTTCACTAAACACAACCTACTTCAAACAGTGGGGTTTGGTTTTAAGAATACTTTTTGCTTGTTTTGGGGGGAAGGACTAGGGTGTAGCCAGCAAGAAGGCACTAGGAAAAGCGGGCTGTTGTGGCGCTGCTACAGGTAGGACCAGAAGAGGGACAGTAGTACAAGAGAAGCACACTTTGGAGACATACTGTAGGTGTTTGAAAACCATAACATAACTTGATAATTTCTGAGACAGATGCTGCGCTCATTGTGGTGGTGGTCCGTAGCAAGTAATGCGTGTCTGCTTTTAGCAGATCCAAATCAAATTTTCATGAGAATTACCATTGCTTTGCATGGTTAATTTATTACAATTAATTGAAAATGAGCTGGTTTTTATGGGAAATGTTTACCCATTTCAAGAACTGTATGGCTCTGCAATATTATTTTGCTTTTTATCAGAGAAATGAAAAGCAAAAATCTAGAATTTGGAATCTGAAATACAATCAGCTGCTGAATGTATTCCTGGCTTTTTAAAACAGGGCAAAAACAAAGCCATTTTCTATTTTATTATGGTAGCTCAATAAGAAAGATAAGTTCTCAGATAAATTTTGAAACCATCTGTGCCATGACAGAACTGAACAGATAGAAGTTGTTGCCCTTTATTTATTTGATTGATTCTATTCATAACCAAATACATTTGAGACATCAAATCTGAGAGCATGGAAGAGCAAACTGATCAAGAATAAATAGTGTTCTCTGTTCAACATGATGCTAATTATATTTGAGCAAAAAGAAAGCCCACAAAACTATTAAAAAACCCCAAACCAAAAACCCCAACAACAGTAAGGAGACTATCAAAAATGACAAAGCGTAAATCACCACATACACTTCTGCTCTGAGGAGAAATATTATCAGTATCACTGTAAAAGCTTATTTTATTTCCTAGCTGAACTGGATGAAGTTTACAAATAGACCTGACCTTCACTGGTTTTTTTTAGTCTCGACACAATAAAAATCAACTGAAGATTTCTTTCTTGAAACTACACATTAGCAATCCTTATAGCTGAAGGCAGTGTATAAAAGGAACGCTCAAAATGTGAAGAAAACACTTTGGATTTTTCAATATTTCATAATGAAAATGGATCAGAGCAATCCCAGGTACAGCTATAGGTTGGGCAGAGAAGAGATTCAGAGCAGCCCTGCAGAGAAGGACTTGGGGGTGTTGGTTGATGAGAAAATGAACATGAGCTAGCTGCAGTGTGCGCCGGCGGCCCAGAAAGCCAACCGTATCCTGGGCTGCATCAAAAGGAGCATGACCAGCAGGTCGAAGGAGGTGATCCTGCCCCTCTACTCTGCTCTTGTGAGACCTCCCCTGGAGTATTGTGTGCAGTTCTGGTGTCCTCAACATAAAAAGGACATGGAACTGTTGGAACAAGTCCAGAGAAGGGCCACGAGGATGATCAGGGGGCTGGAGCACCTCCCGTATGAAGACAGGCTGAGAAAGTTGGGGCTGTTCAGCCTGGAGAAGAGAATACTGCGTGGAGACCTCATAGCAGCCTTGCAGTATCTGAAGGGGGGCTATAGGGGTGCTGAGGAGGGACTCTTCATTAGGGACTGTAGTGATAGGACAAGGGGTAATGGGTTAAAACCTAAACAGGGGAAGTTTAGATTGGATATAAGGAAGGAATTCTTTACTGTGAGGGTGGTGAGGCACTGGAATGGGTTGCCCAGTGAAGCTGTGAATGCTCCATCCCTAGTGGTGTTCAAAGCCATGTTGGACAGAGCCTTGGGTGACGTGGTTTAGTGTGAGGTGTCCCTGCCCATGGCAGGGGCATTGGAACTAGATGATCTTAAGTTCCTTTCCAACCCTAACTATTCTATGATTCTATGATTCTATGAAGGGAGTGCAAACAAGGGGTTTAAAGCTGTGTTTCCTAAATGTTGATCTGTTAAGATAATCAAATAGTGATTAGATTGAAGTTAGAAAGATTTTAGAGTCAAAATAACCACAAACGTGTAGCAGCCTGGTTAGAAGAGGTGGCTCTAAAGAAGACAAGATACTGCGTGCAAAGCATAGAGGGGTTGCTCCTGTAGCATGGTTCCAATGGCACTGCAGTTTAAGCGGAAAATAGAGGTGTATGTGTTGTATCACAAAATACAAAGCTGTGAAGCCCAGTCTCCAGCCCACAGCACCGAGGCTGGAGATGCCTGAGAAGGGGAGCACCATCTCCTGCCTCCTCCCAGGCAAAAGTCAAGATGAATTACTCTGCCTCTGGTACCCTAAGGGGAAATTAAGTCCATGACCAAGGACATCCTCTTTGTAAACCCATCTCCTGCTCCATCCTCTACAGAAGCTTGAGAAGGTCTCAGCTCCTTGAGAAAAAGTTTGAGATTCTTATGGCCCCCTCCCAACCTGTCACTGCATCTGTCAATTAAAGCTGCAGAAACAAAAAAGCCCTGTTAAGCTTCCATCTTTCTAGTCCCAGAGATGGTGTATCAGCTCTTCCAACATCACCTGTTTCAGTTAGCACATTCACTTCTGTGTTCTACTGAAATTAAATGGGCAAGTTAATAAATAAATAAATAAATAAATAGACTTTTGGGGCAGCTATTTTAAATACAAAACAAAGTCTACAGAGGAAAACTTAATTTCCTCATTATCTTATCAACCTATTATTAAAAGCACAGCTATTGTGACCAAAGAACATCAAACAAATCCAATATTCACAAGTAAAATTGCTAAGAATATTCTCAATGCACATTTTTATTAAAAAATATGAAGTACTATACTTATTTATATTTTTAAATGAAGTTTAACTGTTTGGCGTGCTTTGTAGAAACTACTGGCTCCCAAGCAAGGTATCATCTCCACTAAACAAAAAGTCTTTCATACCAAAGCCAAGCTATGTGTTGAAAAGGCACGATAAAATAGCACTTGGACTAGAAAACTATGTTCCACAATGGGTGCCCTGCGCAGAGGGGTAGGTAGCAAATTTTAAAAGGAGGGAAAACTGTTTCACAAGTAAAATAGTGCCTCTGCCCTTCTTATCTATACAAATGACATATTATGTGGTCTTAAAACCCAAGCAAAACCAACAATAAAGAACATAAAACAAAACAAAAAAAAAAGAAGATATCAAAAGAAAAAAAAATCGTAAAGTTATAACAGCATTCATTGATGCCTCAGTGCATGGATTCTGCCATGTCTCCCCGGTGTCACTGGGATCTGAGGCTGTGTAACTCAAATGAAATCAAATGAAAGTTCCTGGCCTCAGCACCTGCTCAGAAGCACTGCAATCCCAGTTTCCATCCTACTGCTGCATTTCAATAAAAAGAATAGCAGGGGTTTACAGGAGGATAACATTGACAAGGTGATAGGCGGTACTCAAATAAATTGTTCTTTCTAAGCTTACATAACTAAAACCAAAACCAAAACAACTATAGATCCTCATCCAGCTACAGGCTGAGTTACAAATCTCCAGTGGTTTAGAAAAATTAAGTAGCTTTTTTTTTTTTTTTCACCTCTACCTTACCCTTAACCAGGAAATATTATTCATGGTTTACCACAGAAGTGCATTGTGCTGATCAAGCTCTACATTCTTATGGTTTATCCAAAGCATAAAGAATACTTTAGGGCACCTGGTCTTCTAAGTCAAAGAATGAAATAAAAACATTGATATGGTCGATGTATGACTAAGGAAATGTGTGTAATGAGTACAGCAGGATCCTTGCTATATTATACTTCCTCTGTGCTGGAGTGGTTGCTAGCCACCTTGCTGTCCTCAAGTACCACAGACATTTCTGTCATATTAAGATGAAGCTCTTATTGACCTTTATGTTTCTTTTAGATTCTCATAGAGTACTCACACTTGCAGGTATCAGCAGCTAGCCAGGATTAGCCAAAATACCAAATGCTTGAGAAAAAAAGTGACTAAGTGGTATTAACTAATCAGTTTGACTTCAGCCTCAACAACAATGAAGTAATTTGCCAAAAATTTTTCATAACTTACATAAAAGATAACTGTCAGCAAGTATCATGGAGATGTTATATATTTACATACACACATTTTATGTTCATTTTAAAAATAACACAGATATTTACTAAACATGACAGTGTTTACCAAATCCACACATGTTCTTACATAAGTGGATGATCTCCTTGTGATAAGATACTTCCCAGAATGCAGTACAAGACCTGAGTTTTATGTCCTATATACCTTGGTCATGCTTGATAGAACTGAAACATTCCCACACAGCGAAACTGAAATCTATGGTTGGTACAAGCATGAATTATGCTCATCTGTCACATGTAATGTGAAAAAATAAACTTGCTTCAACCTCAAGATAGCACATGCGCCTGGAGGGACAACTTGAATCATGTCTTTTCTTAAATCAAAACGGAGATCAGTAGTGTACATACTAAATTTCCTTCAGTAAATATTTTATCACTTTATAAACATAAATATTGACTGATGCGGTGTGTTTTCTAAGAAGACAGCATATAGATGGCTAATTAGACTCCATCAAGAGAAGCCACTGTGTTGTTGTAAGAATGATCATCTCTTGAAAATATAAAAGCCATTCCACCTTCATGAAAAAAGGCTTTGTCCCTTGCAAGCCAAGGCACTGGGATCACTCACAAGCAAACAGACAAAATTGAAGGCTATTCAAGTTATAAGCTTCAAAAAATAAGGCAAACCACGCCTCAAAAAAAACCCCATCTTTAAGAGTATTACTTAAGCCCTGATTATGATATATTTTTAATTCTCTAGTGAAGCTGAAATTAGATATGGGAAAGCTTTTTGCTTGGGAAACTATCTTCGTTTTCTTCTTAAAATGGTCTAATGCAATGCAATCTCCTTGATTTTTCTCTGTTAATAGGGGTTTGTTTGCAGCATTAAG